TATATAAATCCTAACTTGAAAATAAAAATACAAACCTACCAATACTATTGTGTTTCTAAGTTCAAAAAAACCTACGGAAACATAGGGAGACGTACACTACAATCTCGTCGACCATCAAACGACAAACCCGATCTGTTTGACCCATAGATTTTGTCATCATTAGACGTTAACTTAGCTCTTACATTCTCACAAACAGCCGTCATGTTCTGTTTTCCCCATATAGAAGCTCCCGGATAAAACCATACTCTACCTAGAAACACCATATCAATATGTCCTACCACTCCTCCCGTCACAGCTACCTCCTCCTCCAATTCCCTAGCCGCCTCTTCGTCGATAACTCCGGTTTTGTCTCCTTTCACAACCACCTCGTTCTCCTCCCCGCCTTTCTGCCCGAACGAGCCGACTTCAACCGTCCATACGAGTCTTTTCCGGTGAAACACCCACACCGAAGGATTCTCGTATTTGACATGGATGTTCCCGTTAGGGTTCTTGATAGAGAACTTCGCTGACCAGATCGGGAGATTGTGGCCGGCAAATGATATTTGCATGGAGTGCACGTGAACGGTCGGTGGTGTTGGTGTAATGCATATGATTAGCGAGAGAAGTGCTATTAAAGCACCGACGGTTGTTATGGCGAGACAGATTTTGTAAAATAGTGACCACCGTGAGAAGTTAGCTGATTCGGATTCTTGGTCGTTCGATGATATCGATCGGAGTTCCGGAACTACTTCGGTATCGGTGACATTTATTAGAAGCCGTTGATTTACCTCTTCAATGATGTTTTGTTTATCCATGTAGGGTAATAATATAAAAATGTTGATGATGTTTATTGTTTACACGATTGGTCAGTTATATGATTAGTCAATAATTATCTTTTTTTTTTGGTCGAGAGTCAATAATTATCTAGTTTCATTCTATATTAATATTTAGGTTGAATAAAATCTTCCCCATCTAATAATAGTATATACCTAAAAAATGCTAATGCTAAAAGATTGATATATTTGAGATGTTGATTCAAGGAATCTTAGGGTAACTCAATTATGCAATAATATCGTTAATTAATATCTTCGACCGAAATTTATTATTTTGAGGATTTGTACTACGCATAGAAATAAAAGGAATTAATAAAGCTGATTTTCAATAAACTTACAGGCGGTAACAACGAATTCTCTCC